ATTTATATCATTCGCTGTTTTGTTATTTATACACGAGCATCTGAAATTCCCAGCAAGTGTATTTCACGATTTTAATAAGAAGTAGATAGGGAAAAAAACAAACTTTTGCTAAATAAAATGTTATATTAACACTTTTAATAGAAAGAAATCAATAAAAGTGATCGCTTACCGTTACTCTTGAAGAATTAATTCCCAAAATAGCCGTCGGTAGCGTAGACTTTTTAAAAAAACAATTTTTCATCTTTCGAACGGCGTTTTCCTATCTCTTTCCTTATTAAATTTCAGAACGACACTTGCCAGCGCTCGCCGGAAGTGAGAATTCCGTGTGACACAAAACAATCAGCAATTTCACAGGAGATTCACATCTGTACCTACCTCATCTGTGGTTGAGGCCTGGTTGAGGCATCCAACCACGCCATCAATCCCAGTAAAAACATTAGGTCACGTCAGCTAGTTTCCTATCCATTCATTTTATTATCCATGGGAACAAAAAGCTTCAAAACAAGTTACTATACAGTTTTAAGAGCATTTTCGTTTAAGAAAATAAAAATCTTGACGAGAGTGCCACTTTAAGAAATAATAGTCTATATTCAATATATGTCCTATTTACAATATGAGCAGCGGCCGTGTTCTATCAGATCATTACAAACTCCTTCACGGTCATGATATATTTTGTGTTTTCTTCATGAATTACTAGTGAGTTTCACAATTAAATTTATTCAGTATAAGAAAAGCTGTTATTATGATTATTATTATATATTATTATATGGATGACTTGGAGCAGACTTTGTTAGCAAATGGTTCAAGGACTCTATCATTATTAGGATCGATTCAGATTCTATATACTTTAACCTTGGAAAAAATATCCGTAGATTTATATCCGTAAAAATATCCAACCAAATGTAATGAAAATATGCCAGATTCCCCACAGGATCCAACTAATTGGGTCTGAATTCTCTGCGCAACCCCTCCCCCCCGGTCCCCCAGACAATGTTGTTCTAGGTAAAGTCGATTTGCAAGTTATGTCACTAAACTAGCTAGTAACATTGTTATGGAAAATGATATGGAAATTCAAAAGTCTACAAATTTTTTTCCAAGGTTTTATTAAGTAATAGACCCTGCCTCCTTCACAATATAGACCTTTGGCAAGCTGGACACTTGCACAACTATTATGAAATCGAACTGTAATGCCTGTATGTACTGTGCTGCATATCGTCACAACATATATATCTTCACCCGAGCACCGTATACACAACTTACTTCCAGATCGTGTTAGAGATACAAGACAAAGAGAAACCAGATCTAATCCAAATATGTATTATAACTTTAAGTTTCGAACAGAGAGAGTTAAGAACAGTCCTTTGGTGTATGCTATAAATTGTTATAAGGCCATATAAAAAAAATAGTTGGTTAGCGTCCTTAGCTTTTGCCAAAAAGTGGGCGGGCGGGCGCTTTTTTTTTAATTTTTACTAATTTTTAACGCCTTGGTTTTACTCACTGTTAGGTCCGAAACTGGATTTTCTTGCGCAGTACAGATATTTTTTATATATTTCAAAATATAATTCATACCGTCATTTTCGCACGCAATTTCGCAAATTATTAACACAATTGACTACAGTCAACAGAAATACTACATATATTAGAGCCCGTTGATCAATAAAAGTCGTTTTTTTTTAAATAAAAAATAAAAAAAAATCCTGAGCGGGGCCTTTTTTGCGGGCGGGCGAGGACGCTAACCAACTATTTTTTTTTATGTGGCCTAATAGTAGTTTAGTGAGATCTTGGTTTTATCAAGTTTTACAAACCTTGATAGTTTAATTATATATTTTTTAATTATGTAACAACTCATATTTCACTTTATATAAGGTATTTCTATAAAGAATATTTTACATAATGTATAACTGTAAATATTTCATCTTAAACTTTTAATGTAAATGCATGGCAATTAAGGCTTTATATGGCCTTCTTCATGTTTCAATAATTAATAATAATAATAAAAAAAATAATAACAAGACGCTCTATGGAGCGTTAACTCGCTGGGGCTATACAACTGACGCACATTACTGTTAAGATATAAAGGCTGATTTCCACTGTTGCGTTTTTCGTACGCACGTACACGCACGTAAAACTTTGAATCCTTTTATTTTTAAATATTTTACAAATAAGTTAACAAATTCATACTAAAACTTGCGGAGCAGTAAATTCTGTTGCTTTATTTATTTGGTTATTTTATTCTTATTGCGCAATTAATTAGGCAATACAAATACAAGGACAAACGTACTGCGAGTGATTTGATGTAAACAATACAATTTCGCTTGATTTTCAAAGGCCATAAATCGCTAGAATACTGATGTTTAGTAATACATTTGACATCCGTAAGTACAACTTCTTCCGCTGAATCGAACGGTGGTATTTTTATCCTTATTGTGCCATTAAGAGACATTACAAATACAATATCATATTTCACACTGAGTACACTACCAATATGCTTCTCATAAAGTAGTTATAACTTATGTCTCAATCAATTCCATGGTTGCCCATCCCCCCCCCGGGCGTTTTTCGGGCATTCTCAACTGTACTTGTTCCCAGGGTCGGGCATTTGCTTTCTGCAGGTTAGCCCCGGGGTGGGGAATTTGCTCGAGGCTAAAAAGTCGAATATTTATCGCTTGTTTCGCCATTTAGCCGTACTTTAGTACGCATGTTTACACGAGCGTGCGTATCGCAAATTAATCATGGCGGACATACACAAGACTTTTTTCTTGTCCATCCTGTTGATACATTGACTTACTTCTGCAGTTTGATATTGCTATATAAAGTTTTGAGACTTCAATATTTTAATTAAAAACGTTTTAAAATGAAATGGCTATAGAATCGATTTTAAATACAGATATATTGATACGTGATAGAGCTTGGAATCTTGGATTCGATTTTTTGGATCAGAAATCTCAGAAAACTTATATTTTGTCCCCCAAGGGTGGGGCTTTTGCGTCAATGTAAGTCCCCAAGGGTGGGGATTTTGTTGCATTATTTGGACCCCATACTGGGGGCATTTGCAACGTTTTTTCGCCAAAATGACAAAAGCCCGACAAACGCCCGGGGGGGTGTTGGGCACCCATGGAATTAATTGAGACATTAAACTGCACAACGTAGTTTTAATAAATAACCTTTCACCTTGAAATTGTCTTTGGCTCGTTTATATTCAGATTCAGTATATTTATATGATCGTGCACGGGAATTCAACGATCCAAATTTCGGATAATGGGCCCCGGAATTGTTTGAAACATTTTGCCCACTCCACGAAAGGCCCCGCCATTTTGAAAAGGATCAAGCAGCTCATGAATATTCTATTTTGTGGCTATCGACGATCCAAGAAAAATGCAAGCCGAAACCTATACTTGTCTGGGGCCCCAGCGAGTAATAATAACACAATCTAACAAATCGAAAGTTTTTCAAATTGCACTCGTCCTTCGGATCGGACTCTTGCAATTTTGATAGTCTTTGAAAGTCACTCGTGCATGTTTTTTCCAAATTGCACTCGAAACCATGCTATTACCTATATGAATCAAAAAGTGGCGTGTGTATACTCGGTAACTGACCTAAACCCCATAAGCAGGCAACTAAATTACAATGAAGTCCATTCCAAAGTCCAGTCCACTGTTTATAATATGCCTTCAAGTACTCATGCAGTCGCGCACTAATCACCAAGTGCATGGTATGTTTAATGTTTGCTTTAATAGAGAAGACGTTGGCGAAACTGCCAGAGGTATCGTGTCTTACAGGTGCAGTTCCAAAATTTTAAGCTCCGATCAAACGAGGCGTAGATGAGAGTTGACGAGAGTTGACGGTCTCGAATTGCTACAGGGGATATTATAAGCTCTAGATTCATAAAATAAAGGTTTGATCAGAGTGTTCCAACTATGTTTTGACGTACTCAAACCGAATATGACATAGTGTAGGGAAAGTATAGCTTCCTCCGCAAGCATCGCACCTGAAAAATTGGGTGGTTGGAAAAAATTTGGTGAAATTTTTTTTCAAAACCCATGATTCGCAGGCTAAAACCCATAGAGAGGCCTGCGAAGGAGGCTAGGGAAAGCATTAAGAAGAGCTAACCAAGATCACGTGACTTTCAAAGTAATTCTTATGCACGCTCATCCTCGTTTGGCCCATGCCTAACTTGACAGGCCACCTTTGAGAATAAGCGAAGATTTTGACAAGGCCTGGAAGCCCATTGTTCGAAATGAAGTTATATACTACATTAACGCATGGGCCAAACGTGATTGACAACGGCAGAAATAGTACAATCAATCATCAATTCACGTCCACTGTTGGACGGGAATTAAATTAAGTGTAAAAGGAACTAGATACTATGCATGGAATAACTTGCATGAACACAGGCAACAATGGTACAGTATAGAGGGTTCGTTAATCTTCCACAAGACCGTTGTCGCGCTTGCAGCCCTTTTCCTATGTTACAAAACGTATATTATATTCCAATGCTATACAGGGTGTCTAAAAAAAAACGCTATGGAAATTCAACGGCTGGTAGAACACTTGCATCTAAGTCCCTGGGTTATTTGTTTTGTGATTAGGGACGGACCATCTCACAGAAAAAATCCAGAAAAAAAAATATTGTGCACAACAAACCAATTGAAAAAAAAGTCGAGCAAAAACTAGGGCTGATTTTTATGCAATTATTCTAAAACATTAATGCAATTATCCTAAAACATTAAAATGGTGTTTTTACAACAATCAATTACAACAAAATGTACGCCTTCCTTCACCCC